GTGACGTGTTGTGGTTAATTTTGTATACACTAAATCATCATCTCTCACTTAATTGCTCGATCATCTTGTATGTATGTAGAGGATCCGAAGATATCGCCCAACTATGCATTCTTCGAAGATGACTTGCCTGAGTTCCCAACAGAGAATCCTTTCCAAAATACAAAGCCATTTCACATGGTAAGATAGCGTTTTTTTCTTTCTTTCTCTCATTATGGTATGGTATGATCAACAAGTTAGTTAGTAGTGATGTTTTGATTCCTTTTGCAGCTGACGGAATCAGAGCTGCAAGACAATTATGACTGGATTCATCTGTATGTGGAACTTGCAACTGGCACATCTAAGAGGGGCGGTATGAGTCCAGAATATATGTCTACCTTGAATATAGTGGAAGTAGCCATGGATACTACGGAAGATGCGAATGGGGAGGGACTCAACGCCAAAAAAGCCATTTTCTACATAAGATACGTGGATTCAGAGGATGTTGATCGCATAGCTATAGTCAGAAGAGCCTTCGATGAGCAGACGGGATGCTTCAGTCTCGTTGGTCGGAAGCGCAAGAATTGTTTTCTGAAATTTGGTCTGAGATCAGAAACTATACCAAAGAGTTGTTTTCTGAGTTCAGAAACTATACCAACAAAGCGCAAGATTCGGAGTGCTCTACGTCTCGGCGTCTGCAAACCGTGGCGGTTCTCTAGTCATAGACTGCACAAGGTATTCAAAAACAGTGGCTTGGGCTTGGCTCGTAGTCGTCGTCCGCACAAGACAAGATCCAATTGAAAATGTGGATCAGATAATAATAATAAACTAACTATCAATGGTCGACTAAGTTATTTGGTTTTTGTGTTTTGCTTTATTGGTGAATACAAGAGAAAAATTGTTTACCCTTACCTCTTGGAACGTACTGGTCTATTCTACAAACAGATAAGCTTTATTTTTTTGGAATAACTGAGAAATGTGATTGAGCAAAAAGAGACTGATGATCAGTTTTCACGGGATAGAGCAAGAAAAACAGTAGCAGCTGAGATCTGAACTTTGAGATCAGCAATATCAATATCGTGCCCGCCTTCGACTAGTCCCCATTTGTCCACCTGAACATGTAATGAAGATTAGATACATCATACATAAAACTATATAAGCAAAAGGTATAAATGATAGTGAAGTTGAGTGAAGAACCGGACCTGTAAATCTTCTTCAAGTCTAATCAATTGGATAGCATCATCGATCTGCAATTTCCCGCAGAAGATGCCAAGAGCGATAACTACCGAGTGAGCTGATGCCTCTAGTGCATCGATGCTAGCCAGTTCACCATCATTTGTCTTCGTGAGCAGATCTTCTACTGCTTTCACTAGCTTGTCGTCTTGTTTACCTCCGAAGATGCTAGAATACAATTTCGGTTTGACCCCAAACTCTGACTCTACCCACTGAAGTAGAGGATCAATCCTCTCTACCTGAACATCTGCAAAGGGCACACCCCAATTAATCGTAAAATCTATGAGACAGTGGAATTGAAAGAGAAAGCGTAAATACCATGGACATCAGTGGTTAGGTCGTCATCTTCAGGCGCTCGGAAAAAGACGAGATCTTGATGTAACTTTCTTGATAGATGTTCAATAATCTTTGAACGCGTAAGAGGAACTCTCTCGAGTGCAGTACACGCTAGTTTCATGAGTGGCATTGTGAATGGTCTGATCCCTTCTGTTAGCTACACAGCATCATCCCATTGATACCAAGTCAGTCATCTCTATCTCTATGACATAAGTAGGAGAGATAGAATAACGAAAGAATATGAGTAGAGAAAGCCAAGTCTAGTGCTTTACATCATCTCCCTTCCACTAATCGATATATCAACCTATTGGATCACATTAGAACTCAGATTTGTTAAGCCTAGAAACCGATCAAACACTAGGGACACCGAATAACATAAATTATCAACCTAGTGATCACATTATCGAACTCAGATGGCAAACCAGAAATCGATCAAACATTGGATACTCTAATGAACAGTATATTAGATGTTCATCGGTACAAACAACAGCACATTCCAAGCTTTACATTAAATTAAACAACGAAACGGTTCCAATTACAAGGATTTTACACATAGGAAGATTCCACAAATCGAATTAGCAACCAATTGATCACATTAGAACTCAGATCATAAAATACAAAAACCGATAAAACATTAAGGACTCTAAAGAACAATAGATTAGATGTTCAATGATATAAACAAGAGCAACTTCTCAGCTTTACGTTGTATAAACAATGAACATATATAGCTAAATATAATCAAAGTCATTATTGATCAACCACAAGAGGGACTCTAAGAAGATCTGATCAGATGTTCATATTGATATAAACTAACAAAATGACAAGCTCTCAGCTTTAGCTTGAATAGACAATGAACAAATCCAGTTACATTGATTGCAGCTAAATTATCAGCTTAAGAGCACTAGGTGTTTTGCTCAAAGCAGTGAATTTACCAAGCACAACATATCCAATTTGAAAAGAGGAAAAATGTTGAGACTTGAATAGAACAAAACCTGATACTCCCATTCAATTGCAATGGCTTTAGCAAGTGCCAAAGAACGAAGCTTGAGAGGTCTTTTGGAAGGTGTTTTAAGGGTTCTGTAATCAAGCATCACAGTCCATCCATTTCCATCATCTGCTTCTCTCGTCGTCACTTTCTTGTAAAATCTCTTCCCTACGATCGAACCCGTCATGAAAGACGTCGGCATCGTCACCGAATCCGAATCGTTGTTCCGACGAGCGTTCGGAGCTTTCACGAAGATGGGTTTTTCATTCTCTTTGTCAAACGTGAACGACGAAGATGAAGAATCCGATGATTGCCCATCGGAATCGGGTTCACGAGCGGCGGATGTTGTACAGAAGGATCGAGAACGAAGTACCAAGTGAGAGTTTTTAGCCGATTTGAAAGCTCTTCCGATTAACATCGCCGCCATCAAACCTCCGTTTTCCGGTGGTTTTGACCAGACGCAAATGGAACACTCTGCTAAGGGTTCTAGTCTTCTAGAGATGTAGATCGAACCCTGAAACGACGTCGCAGTATTGGGAGTGATAATCTCGAGAAGTCGGTATGGTTTGTAAAATAAGAGAAGCCAAACCGAATCCAGACTAAAAATTTGAATACAAAGTGAAAGTCAAAATTGGTAAAAAGCCTTATTTACGGCTCATCAAAAGTTCAACAAAAGAAAACCAAAGCACTAAATAGTGAAAGGACTCAAGTGGTGGTCAATGTTCGAGCCACCATTGATAGTTTCTTGTTCAGAAGGTTCCGCCACGGAGACGGAGAACAAGGTGAAGAGTTGACTCTTTCTGAATGTTGTAGTCCGCTAATGTCCGACCATCTTCGAGCTGTTTACCAGCAAAGATGAGTCTCTGCTGGTCAGGTGGTATCCCTTCCTTGTCCTGAATCTTCGCCTTCACATTGTCAATCGTATCAGAGCTTTCGACCTCAAGAGTGATCGTCTTTCCCGTCAAAGTCTTGACAAATATCTGCATACCTCCTCTCAACCTGAGAGTCAAATGCAGGGTTAACTCCTTCTGAATGTTGTAATCCGCCAAGGTAAGACCATCCAGATGAGTCTTTGCTGGTCGAGAGGAATGCCTTCTTTGTCCTGGATCTTTGCCTTCACATTATTGATGGTGTCAGAGCTTTCAACGTCAAGTGGTATGGTCTTTTCTGAAAGAGTCCTTGCGTAGATTTGCATCATCATCTGGAAACGAAAGCACAACTTCGTTAGCGCACACACATTACAAAACTAGAGAACCACACAATAACATCAGTCTCTTGAACACAATAATTAGCCCTTCAAAGTAAAGAACAGAAATCTCTGAAAACAGAGAACAATGATCAGAGATCAGGACGCAAAACAAAAGAAATCGGAGAAACACATACCTTGAGACTTGAGAGAGAATTTCAGGAGAGTTTAGCAAAGCGTAGGGTTTTGCGAGAGAGCAAGAGTTGAATGAATTACAAACGAGAGGAAGAACTCTCCTTATATAGTGGCGCGATTTAAAATTTTATAAAAGGAAATAGGAAATCTAAAATAAATGGAAAATCTGTAAGAAACCGACTCAATTAGAAGGTTCTAGGCTTAACGGAATAAACCAACTAATCAATTCCTTTTATGTAGTGAGCAAATATAACCGAACTAGATTGAACAAAAATGATCCAAAAGGAAGATGTAATAGTCAAAACTCAAAAGTAACATCACCTGTTCAGAGGATGAACCGCTAGCTTTTGTGCTCTGCATTGCTATCTCCGCAATGACATTTGGTTCCAGTCCGTTTCAAGAACCACCCTGAACACATATTCCACAAGCTGTAATGAAACCATAGCTATATGCTAAGATATGTAAGGACAAGCTAAAAACAAAGCTCAGCAAATGTTTAAAATGTTTTAAGAATTGCATATAACAGTCGTGTAGGGATAAAATATTAGACTTGTGTACCCCTGATCAACCATTTCATCAAGGCACAAAAAGATGAGATCCTAGTTCTCAAGGGCTTCCATCTTTTCCACATTGTTGCATCAACCATTAGTCGTGGAGGTTTATTAGGATTTTTCGGTTGTTAAGTCGAGCAAATACCTCAGAAGAAGCGCAACAGCATCGAAAAGCCTTTAAAAATAGAAAGATAAGATGAACTCGGTCCTGGGCGAAATGACATAATTAAAGTGAAACAGAAAGTATATAAATACCGTCAGGAAACCCAATATACATCCCATGAAAGAAATTGTGAAGATGAATAACTTGTGTAGTCTTACCTTCTGTGCGAGCATTGGTTTTTGAGGTCTTCGGGAAAACATATTTGTCAAAACTTAACTTGGCAGCATTAGTTTACCAGTCATCCGAGTAATACTTGACAGCCACACGCTTTCCTTCAGAGTCTAGAAGAAGAATGTTCTTTACCAACGGACATGAATCCTATTCAAAGTAAATTGGACAGTCAGTATTCAAGTTCCAGGAGAAAAGCGAAGCAGGGAACTCAAAAAAAAGATCGGCCAAACTCCTACAAAGCTATATCAGCTCGTCAGCATCCATGACTCAACAAAAAGTATCATCAGTTGAGATGTTTTCAAATCTTTTTTCAGAAATCGAAAAAAATCACAAAAATATATTCCGCAACTGGGCTTTGAACCCGGAATTCGTAGGATCTTTTTGCTTTAGCCTTTGTGCTGCAGTGGATCTTTTTGAGTGTTATGAATTATAATTATATATAATGGCTTTTGGTGAAAATCATGTCTGAAACATCATTATGAATCTCTAAATCGGCACACATAGAACTGGGAAAGAACACGTTGCAGGAGCAGTTGGAAAAACCTATGGACCTAGCTTTGCTTTACTATCTATCTTGTGAGTTTGGTCTTTCTAGTTGCTCTAACAAGTCTTGTTTCCAGTGCTAAGTATTCTTTACAATGTTCTTATCAACAACAAGAACAGAGTAGTATTTTAGAGTATCTATGCAACAAAGTGGCAAAACCTATTTTGTAAATATGTTTTTTACAAAGGATATTTACAGAGATTGTTGATCAATTAAGAAAGATTTTTTTGCTCTTAAGTCGAGTAAATACCTCAGAAGAAGTGAAGAACAGGAAGATAAGATGAGCTCGTTTTCATTTTCACCTCTAGTGACAAACAAGTGAAAGTCCAACAGTGTGATTTCAGCTGCACATAATAACATTGAAACCAAACTTAATTTACGATCTATAAGAAATTTGAAACAGACAAAAAGGTGAGATCCAAGTTAACATTGAAACCAAACGTTAATTTACATCTATAAGCAATTTGAAACAGACAGTATGTAAATACAAAGTCAGGAAACCCAATATACAGCCCATGAAAGACACGGTGTTCTTGTGAGGCATTTCATCGAACACCTTGCGTGCAGCAAAAACTTGACCTTTCCGGAGAAGCTCCTCTACGATAAAATTGGAAAGACAAGTATTTGTGTCGAACCGAGTTTTGATAATCCAAACATCAATACGTGTTTGTAGAAATCGGAGCTGCTGTAAAGTCGCAAAGAGTTGTTGAGCGGAAGCAATAACGAAGATTCATAAGCCCAATTTCGATGCTTCAATCAAAAACATTTATTTTCAAAAATCAGTTCGGTTCGATACGGTTGTGGAAAATACTTGGTTTGGTTTGGTCTAATTGAAAACCGTCTGGTTTGTTGGATTCCATAGATTAGAAGAGAGATTACATTCAT